CATTTCCCCACTGGCCACAAGGGGGCATTTCCCCACTGGCCACAAGGGGACATTTCCCCACTGGCCACAAGGGGGCATTTCCCCACTGGCCACAAGGGGGCATTTCTCCACTGGCCACAAGGGGACATTTCTTCACTGGCCACAAGAATACATTTCCCCACTGGCCACAAGGGGACATTTCCCCACTGGCCACAAGGGGGCATTTCCCCACTGGACACAAGGGGGCATTTCTCCACTGGCCACAAGGGGACATTTCCCCACTGGCCACAAGGGGACATTTCCCCACTGGCCACAAGGGGGCATTTCCCCACTGGCCACAAGGGGGCATTTCCCCACTGGCCACAAGGGGGCATTTCTTCACTGGCCACAAGAATACATTTCCCCACTGGCCACAAGGGGACATTTCCCCACTGGCCACAAGGGGGCATTTCCCCACTGGACACAAGGGGGCATTTCTCCACTGGCCACAAGGGGACATTTCCCCACTGGCCACAAGGGGGCATTTCCCCACTGGCCACAAGGGGGCATTTCCCCACTGGCCACAAGGGGGCATTTCTCCACTGGCCACAAGGGGACATTTCTCCTCTGGCCACAAGGGGGCATTTCTCCACTGGCCACAAGGGGGCATTTCTCCACTGGCCACAAAGGGATATTTCCCCAACGTTTCCATTGACTAATGTGAGGGGATGTTACAATTTTGCACACTCTGTGTTTCTTTTCCGGCCGTTATTATTCAATTTCATGATTTTATTGTATAGAGCAAGGGGAAGATGTAAAATAACTGGCTCTGGGTGTCAAATATTCAGGTTTGCCATATTCTTTATTTTTTTTATTTAAACCTTTTAACAGCTTACTGACAGTGCTCCTATGTACAGCGCTATTTATCATTATTAGCACGGGTTCCCTGAGACTCCAGAGTCATTTTGAGGGTCCCTCCGGGCAGGGCCGGTGCTAGGATTTTTACCTAGACAGGCAAAGTTGAATTTTTGTGCCCCCTCCCGACCCCCTGTAGCGCTGGGCCTGCTCCCTATCAGCATGTTTTTTTTTTCTTCACTTACCTTCGGCGCGGGAGAGCAGCGGCGAGTCAGCGCTGATCCGGTGGGAGGAGCTCCAGGTGGCGTCCTAATTTAGCTGGCCGGCGACTGTCAGAGGTGCCCTGCGTGTCGGGATCCTCTGGCAGTCG